TTTGTGTCTGCTCTTTCCTCTGTATGTGTCCCTTCCAGGTACTCAGAGGCGGCATCTGATCCAAGGTGGAAAGAAGCCATGAATGAAGAGATGAAAGCCCTAATGAAAGCAAGAACGTGGGAACTGGTGGACCTGCCAGAGGGGAAAGGCACTGTTGGGTGCAAGTGGGTATTCACAGTAAAGCACATGGAAGATGGGTCAATCGAGAGGTACAAGGCCAGACTTGTGGAAAAGGGATTTACACAAAAGGAAGGAATTGACTACAAAAAAACCTTTGCCCAAGTAGAAAAGTTCAACACAATCCGGGTTCTACTGTCACTAGCAGCAAATTTCTCTTGGGAACTCCATCAGCTGGATGTGAAAAATGCCCTCCTAAATGGTGATCTTCATGAATAGGTATTCATGGAACCTCCACCAGGCTATGATGTTGGAAAGAAGGTGTGTAACCTAAGGAAAGTATTATATGGTTTGAAGCAGTCTCCTCGGGCATGGTTCGAGAGACATTGTATGGCCATGAAGAAAGTGGGGTACACTCAGAGCAGTGCAGATCATACATTGTTTACAAGGAGACAGGATGACAAACTTACGGCCCTCATTGTTTATGTGGATGATATGGTGATTACCGGAAATGATGTGGAAGAGAAGAGGCTAAAGGAGTTCTTAGCTACAGAATTTGAGATCAAAGACCTGGGAAATCTGAGATATTTTCTTGGGATCGAAGTTGCTAGATCAAGAGAAGGAATCTACATATGTCAGCGGAAATATGTATTAGATCTCCTAGAAGAAACATGCATGATGGGGTGCAGGCCAGCAGACACACCAATAGAACCGAACCATGGATTACAAGAATCAATGGGTGAGGAATACTGTGATAAGGAAAGGTACCAAAAATTGGTAGGAAAACTGATATACTTATCCCTCACTAGGCCAGACATTGCCTATGCAATGCATGTTGTCAGTCAATTCATGCACTCACCAAAGACTCCTCATATGAGAGCAGTGGAAAGAATTCTCAGATACTTGAAAACATGCCCAGGGAAAGAAATTCTATTCAAGAAGAACAGTAGACTTGAAATTGAAGCCTACACTGATGCAGATTGGGCTGGGTCTGTTGGAGACAGAAAATCAACCTCAGGTTACTGTACATTCTTGGGAGGAAACCTAGTCACATGGCGCAGTAAGAAGCAGAATGTTGTAGCTAGATCAAGTGCAGAAGCAGAATACCGAGCTATGGCACATGGGGTTGCTGAACTCTTATGGCTCAGAACTCTTCTCAATGAGCTTGGTATTAAGGCTGAGGGTCCTCTCAAGCTGTATTGTGATAATAAAGCTGCTATCAACATTGCCAACAATCTCGTGCAGCATGACAGGACAAAACATATTGAAATTGATCGACACTTTGTCAAAGAGAGAATTGTCTCGGGAGAACTCTGTGTGGCTTCTACTCCATCAGAGATGCAAATTGTAGTTGTATTGACTAAAGGGTTGGCAAAAACAAAGTTCAGAGACATACTTGGCAAGCTAAACATGATTGATATCCATGCTTAGCTTGAGGGGGAGTGTTATAATGTTAGAATGAAGTCTCCTTGTATGAGTGTTCGGCTGATAAGAGTTCTTGTTAGCCCATACTTAAGTTTAAATTATCCTGTAGCTGGGCCGGTGTTAATGGGCCTAAGCCTGTTTAATGTTTTAAGTTAACTGGGTGTCCCATCACTAATCAGGGGCATTCCAGTAATTACTTGTATCATTGTACTACATTCAAATATAAATAATAGCATGGTCGACTAGCCAGTACAGTTCGACATTCACAGCATATCAGTGGTGTTCTTCTCCTCTCCTCTACTTCGAGTACAGCTCTCAAGCTCACAATTTTAACCTAGCTAATGTTGGCTAAATTTTAAAGCAGAAAAATCCTTACGTGAAGCAATAATCTTCAGCCACAAAAATTAACAAGTAATAAAGAAGAGAAAATAGAAAGGGAAACAAGAGCTACCATAGCTGATAGCTATGGCAGAAACCAACAACAAACTCTTATCCATTCATCAAAAAAATAAAACAATTGAATAAAAATTTTGACACTATAGACCAAAATTCAGCACTTCAACTCATACTTAACCATCTACCAATGTTTTAAAAGGCGTGGGAGGCATACACCTAGAGGTGCTCCTCCAAGTGGGGTACCCCAAAATTCCCTGGGGTGCATGCCAGAGGCATACGCCTCAAGCATCTTTTCCACGAGGCGTGCTAGAGACATACACCTCATATGAAAAGAAAGAAAAGAAGAAGAAAAAAAAAATAGGCAGGAAAGGAAAAGGAAAAAAACGAAAGAAAAGAAGAAGAAAAAAAATAGGAAGGAAAGGAAAGGAAAAAAAAGACGGAAAAGAAAAGGGAAAGAAAGTGTTATGCATCTTCAACAACACCCTCATACCATTTCAGTTAGTGTTATGAATCTTTGTTCTCCTTAATATAAAACATATTTCATAAAAAAGAAACAAAGAAAAGAGATCCCCCTTTAGGAGGCTTATAACTCCTTGTACTTGGGAGGCATATACCACTTAAATTCTGAACTATGCCTCACGCTTCCAGGTAGTGGAATGCCTCCCATCAAGCCTTCATATTTTAAAACATTGCTATCAAATCAAACTTTATTTAAGGGAAATCTGAAATTTACTAAACATTTCTGAAATCTCCCCTGAAGTTTCTGACTGTTGCTGAAACCTTCCCTACAGTTTGGTAATACCTCCCTGAACTTTCTGACAAAGTTGCAAGTAGACCCCTCTGTTAGAATCCTCTAACAAGAGGCACAAAAATGTCCAAAATACCCATGCAATTACTATTGAGACTGGTTTCTAAAAACACACAAACTTTATAAATGACAAAAAAAATATATAGAAATTAAAGTTTCAGCTTTACCGTTGAGCGATTGATTTCAAAGGGAAATTTGGAAAATAAATCAAATTCAGAAAAAAAGAATGGAAGGGTTTGCGATAGCGATTCATATGACAAAAAGATTTGGAAAATAAACATTTTGGTCAAAAGAAACTGCATGGATATTTTGGGCATCTTCATGACTCTTTTAGAGGATTCTAACAAAGGGGGTCTAATTGCAACTATGTCAGAAAGTTCACGGGAGGTGAATGCAATTACCAAACTTCAGGGGAAGGTTTCAGTAGTTTACCTTAATTTAATCAGAAACAGTTTACTGGAAAGGTACCCAATAAGAGTTTTGATGAAACCAGTTGATTGGTTACCAATTCCATGATATCAGTTGAATGGTTAAAAGATTATTACGCATCATGCCCTTCTGGTATCATAGACAGGCTCTAGATGAATTAGTAAGTATGAGACACCTTTTATGGCCAGGCAATATACTCCACTCCATTCCTTGCTATACATGTCAAACTAAATGTCCCTTTTGTATAGTTTGTGCATAAGAAAGGGATTGGACAGCTATTGACAGTTTTCAATGACCTAGTGGCTTGTATTAAAAAAGAATTTCATATTATTAGCGCCTATTTGTTCTATTACCATAAAAGAAGTATCGGTTTTACCTTGATGTCACACAGTCACCCAATATAACATAGTTTGAAGGAGCTCGTGGTCTCCAAAATGTGAGGTTGTAACCAGGTGCAATTCCTGCAACAACAACAATAGAACTGAGTGTAGATAACATAAAACTTGACAGACTTTCTAATAAATAAACAAGCTAAATATTTCCAATGGTTGGGAGAATATTGCAAAGGAGTAGTGGAGAAAAAGAATTGCCCAGAATTAGACTTGTCAAACTGATAGGGCAAAGTTGTATAAGACCTTTTTGTGACACCCAAAGTCGATCAAAGTTGGAGCAAGAAGCTAAAGGATCTGCATTTCCAAATTGTAGTGCTGCAGCTGCCTGATTTTGCAAGTTAAGGACAAGAGATATAACACTCAAGGATAGGTGGAAGCATATATTGGTTGATATCAACGATATATTTGTCTTGTCCTTAACTGAGGTATACCCCCCAGAAATGTCCACTGGATCAAGAACTATAAGACCTGAACCAGCTTCAAAAGTGAGATCCTTCACAAGAGTCCGTATCCAAGTATCATCTGCTTTTGAAGCATACCTGTAAAACATAGAAAACAACTACAAATTTACTGCTTCATGTCAGACACTGGTTACAACAATAAAACAAGCATGTGCACAAATTTGTGTTGCACATGCATGCCCTCTAGATTCAATGGATGCCCTCAAGAGTGTTAGACTTAAGGTTCATGTGTGAGTGTTTGTATAGATCTATTTATGTCAGATAAAAGACGTCACATAAGATTAAACAAATTGAATTCAAATTGGAAAATAGGATTTGTTAGACTCAAGGTGCATGGGTATATAAATGTGTATATACCCATGTGCCATTCCTTAGTTTTAAACATTTTAATCACTCGAATGGTTGTGTAAACTCAAAAATGACTTTTGATGGTGAAACAAAGATAGAAGAAATCCTAAGGTTATATTTCATTTCAGGGAAAACTGGAAGGGGAAATGGCAATTGGAGAGACTCAATTCTTATGGCAACCCACTCGCTCTCTCATCACATAGGGATTCATTATGAAGAGAAGAGAGATCATTTATATCCAAAAGGAGACAGAATCTTAAGTTAGGGAGGGATTCAATGGGAATGGATCAACCCCATTTAGGAATTCGAATTCTGTTCACAGTGCCTTCAATGAATGCTGCTTAGCTGGAAAAAATGATCCTTTTTTTCAGTAAAAGGGTTTCACATATCCAAATTCATCAAGGAGGATTGGTAGGTTTTCCTTGTGTAATAAAAATTCTTGCTCCAGATAATATTACATAGTGTTGTCCAGGGGATAATACATAGGCATATTGGGCCGTCCGAGGAATGGATGGAGAAGGTAGTCAAGATGAACTGATCCACCCCATTAAGAGTTGAAGAGAATATCTTAGTGTATCTTTAATTAGATGGATATGAATTCCTACAAATGGGTGGGTGATAAAAGTTTTATAAATTTTATTGCAAACCATGTAGTATGTAAATAATATTAATCTTATAATGGAATTTGAAATCAATTCAGGTGAGTGAAATGTGAAATCAATTCAGGTGTTTTTCCTAGTATTTTGAAACCTAAGAGAAATGCTTGATCATCTTCTTGTGTGAGCCTTGTCACCTATGGCCAAAGCCTTTGACGATTGTTGAGGCACAAATAGAGCATGATCACCACAGGAGGATATTACATTTTTGGAACTTTGAAATGTATGCTACTCCTCCTAAGATAGAATTAATTGTGGTAATCGGGTTCTTGTAACTAAGAATTTGTTCTTGGCCTATACAACCATCTTTCAGGTAGAAAATTGTTTTCCTATTGGTAATGGTTAAATTTGTTTTCCCATGGATGTGATATTAAGTTAGAAATGAACACCACTGCCAGAGTTATATCTAACCGAGACAACAGTGACTTTTCTCATTGAGGTTTTGAGAATCTTCATTGCAGGATTATCCTCTTTAATTTTGGTTCTTCAAGATTATCCTCTTTAAGATCATCTTTGTCTTCGAAGTCATTATTCTCATCTCCACCCTTTTCCTTTCTCTCTGTTTTCAGGCCTGAGATATCAGAGGAGAGGATGAAAGAAGAAGAGGAAGAGAGAAGAGAGAAGAGAGAAGGACGTTCGGTTTCAAAACATGCAGTTGGCAGCTCCAGCTTTCTTTTCTTTTTATATTAGGCTGACCCAACTTAAAATAAAAGAGGGGAGAAATTACAAGAGTGCCCCTACAGCACTAAAGAACAGAAAAATATAAAAAACTACTAGAAGAACTAAAGGATTTCAATACTCCCCCTCAAGTTGGGACATAGATATCAATCATGCCCAATTTGTCACATTAATCATTGTGCCGCGGATGATGTAACACCTTGGTAAAGATGTCTGCAAGTTGATCTGTGGAGCTGACATATGGAGTGCACACTTCCCCCATTTACGATTTTTCCCTTATAAAATGCTTGTCAACCTCAATATGTTTAGTTCTATCATGAAGTACTGGGTTGGCAGCAATGTTGATAGCAGTTTTGTTATCACAATACAAGGATATGGGACCATCAACCGGAAATCCCAACTCATTCAACAAGTTCTTTATCCACATAACTTCAGCCACTCCAAGGGACATTCCTCTACATTCAGCTTCAGCAATAGACCTTGCCACAACATTCTATTTCTTGCTTCTCCACGCGACTAGGTTTCCTCCCACAAAGGTATAATACCCACTAGTAGACTTTCTGTCATCAACTGTTCCGGCCCAGTCAGCATCAATATACACCTCAACCTTCAACTGACCATTCTTCTAGAAAAGTAAACCGGCCCCTGGGAACTTCTTTAAGTACTTGAGGATTCTATCAGCTACCTCTAAGTGTGTAGCCTTAGGAGCATGCATGAAGTGGCTAAGAACACCCACAAGTCTCTGGAATTGTTTCACATCCTTGATAGTCTCACCCTGACAATCACCCAATCTGTGGTTTGGATCAATGGAGGAGTTAGCAGGCTTGACTCCAAGTTTTCATGAATCCTGTAATAAATCTAGGATGTATTTTCTTTGAGAAATGAAGATCCCCCTTTTTGAACAAGCCACTTCAATTCCAAGAAAATACTTTTAAGGGACCTAGATCTTTCACCTCAAACTGAGTGGCTAGGAACTCCTTTAGTCGCTGAATTTCCACCTTCCAATCGCCTATGATCACTATGTCGTCAACATACACTATCAAGGCTACAATTTTTCCCTCTCCTTTTTCATAAATAATGTATGATCAGTCTAACACTATTTATAACCAATCTACTGAATAGCTAGATGAAACTTGCTGAACCAAGCTCTCGGTGATTGTTTTAATCCATACAAGGACTTCTTTATCCTACACACCGTTTTTTCTTGGTCTTGAGCATAGAAACTAGGAGGTTGCACCATGTACACCTCCTCTTCAAGATCACCACTCAGGAAAGCATTTTTAATATCTAGCTAGTGGAGATCCCAATGAAGGTTAGCAACAAGAGAAAAAAGAACTCCGATGGAATTCATCTTAGCAACCAGACCAAATGTCTCTGTATAGTCTACTCCATACACCTAAGTAAACCCTTTAGCCGCCAACCAAGCTTTGTACCTTTCTATTGTACCATCAGCCCTATGCTTTACTGCAAAAACCCACTTGTACCCTACCAATTCCGTTCCCACAGTAAGGTCCACTAATTCCCATGTACCATTTTTATGTAATGCATCCATTTCTTCTTTCATTGCATCTATCCATTCAAGCACTGAGAGAGCTTCTGCACATTTTTGTGGATAGGGACACTATCAATGGAAGAGAGAAAAGAACGAAGAGGATGAGATGTTCTCATATGAGATAAAGTGGGGGATAGGATATTTGGTGGTACAGGACCTAACTCCCTTCCTTTGTGCAATAGGGATGTCAAGGTCATTGGCAGAAGAAGAATCAATAGCAATAGGGTCAGGAATGTCAACAGTAATAATGGTACCTGGTGGGACGGGATCTGTCCCCGATGAATCTGATGATGTTGGCGGTACAGTTTCATGTTGCTCCACAGCTTTTGAACCGACTAGCCCATGCAGCGACGGAGGAAGACATGGAACGGAAGAGGGTCAGGTAGAGGAGGTAGCACTTGAAATTGTTTCTCCTCCACCCTATTCTCCCCCTAAGGAGAAACCGGATAGAAAGGATCACTCTCAAAGAAAGACACATCCATAGAAACATAGTATTTTCGAGAAACAGGATCGAAACAACGCTAAACGTTTTGAGAAGAAGGATAGCCCAAAAAGACACAAGGGAGAGCACGAGGGTCAAGCTTACCACGGGTAGGACACAAGTTTTGAACAAAGCAACGACAACTAAACACCCGAATGGGAATAGAGAAAAAGGGGGCTTTAGGGAATAGCAATTGTTGAGGGACCTTGTACCCTAACACTCGAGATGGTATACGGTTGATGAGATAGGTAGCACATAATACGACATCCAACCAAAAACGTTTTGGAACACTCGTATGGATGGGTAACCCAAGAGCTAGTCTTGCAGCCATTGAATCTATGAGTCAGTCGAAGCAGAATCCATCTAACGGATTGCTCTCCCATACAGATCCAAGTGGTCACAGAAAGAATTAATGATATCTTCCCGAGGATCGGCAACAGATGGGCGGCCCTAGTGAATAGCAGTAGATGACAGAGGCTCCTGAGAGGCCAAGTTTGTTGTATTAAACCTTTTTTTGACTCTGCTGTCCCGGCTTCTTATTCTGATCTGATTTCATACTCAGCTCTTGGGCCCACTTTGGCTTTCCATGGAGGTCCTAGCAAGTATCTCGGGTATGTTTGGCCTTCTAGCAATGAGTACACCACAACTTATCCTTATCATCCACTCTCTTTTGGGAGTCACCCTTCTTAAAGGAATTATTGCTTCCTGCACCTATACTCTCTTTAGCCACTAAGGCAATCTGCTCCCCCTCAGAGCTATTCATCACACTGCACCTACTCTCTTCGGGCTGTACTAGAGCATACACTTATTGCACTGAAGGAAGATCTTTACTTCCTAATATCTGAACTCTGAGGGACTCACATTTGGGGTTCAGCCCCAGGAGGAAGGCAAAGACCCGTTGTTGGGAAACCAGAGCCTTGTCGGCTTTAGCATCAACATCACACTTCCAATCAATGTCTGATAGTGATCTAGTTCCTTCCAAATTGAGGTTAAATCTGAATAGTAGGCTGAGAGGGTCCCCACCCCTGCTTATAAGTAGATGAGGCAGCTTGCAACTGGTATATTTTGGCATAGTGGCGTTGCTCTGAATAGGTAGCTTTTGCCTGCTCCCAAATCTCAACAGCTGTTTCAGCCCACATGAAAGTTTTCCTAACTGGAGGCAACATAGACAGTAACAGCCATGACATCACCATGCTGTTTTCCTGGTCCCACTATCATGCTCTGCCCCCTGAGACTTTTGACCCATTCCCAGATCGATAATGGAAAGTCCATAAAAACCCCGGACTCATAAAACCATGTAAAGCCATCTTTATTTTATCTTTGTGGTTTTTTGATATCAATGGCCTCTTTCTACTTCAAGATATTCTTTTGGGTACTTCTCCTCTTAAGCCAAGTACATGGAAATTTTCTTGGGCAATAAGGGCATAAGAATATGAAACCAATCAGTATGACAGAACATTGTTATCTACCAAAACTGGAAAAGGAAAAACAGAGAAGTTTTATTTCTCCCACTTTGTCCAGTCAAGTACAAAGTGTATTCTTTCTTATTATTTGCAAAAAGAATTAAATTGTAAAATGTCAAACATGTATATATGATCAGAAAATATGAAAATTCAACAAGGTAGTAGGTCCTTAATCAAGCTACTTCCATATCATCAGAAAATCCAACAGCCATAGATGCCTTGGAAAATGGAAATCCAAATCCTAATAAAGGTCCAAAGCTTAGTCCAAATAAATTGAGATAAAGATCGGATGTGAAAGGATGAACTCAAACACCTAGTTCCTGTTAGTCAGATTTGGTGTATTGCAAGACTAGTTTAGCAGGTGCCTCATCTCTGCACATAGCAGAGGTTCATCATGATGAGAGGTGTGCTGCTAGTAGTGTCTTGGTAGTGAAAGGTTCTATCTCTAAGGGCATTATACTCTTGCTAGAGAATATGCAGGCTTGCTTCTGTTTCACAGTGAGGTGTGGCAAAGAGGCTATACGCTTATAAGGAAAACTCTGTAAAACAGTTGTAAGGCCTACCACGTTGTACAAAGTACAGTGTTGGGAAGCCAGGAAACAAGTTCATGTCCGAAAAATGAGTGTGGCAAAAATGTATATACTGAGATGGATGAGTGGAAAAAATTACAGGGAGAGAATCAGAAATGAAGTCATTGCCAGGAAGGCAGGAACTAAGGAATAGTTCCAATAGGTGATAAATTGAGAGAAAGTAGACTAAGATGGTTCAGTAATGTGCATAGAAGACCATCAATAGCGCCCATAAGAAGAAATGATTTCAACACCAATAATTTAACAATGGATATGGCATTAAACAGAATGGAATAGAAAAACAGGATTCCTGCCGCTGACCCCATATATATTCATGAAAATAACTTAAAGAGTATTAGCTACAGATGGAATATATTTTTACTCACATGAAGCTTAAATCCATTTTTGCACGGAGAAGCTTTTCACCATGTAAGAATTCATCCAAGGATGACTTCGTACTATCAAAGAAGGTGAACTCAGAAGATACAACCTGCAGAACTCGGTATCAAAAATTGAAATAAGAGTGCAAGCAGATGAAGATAATTAACAAGTAAAGAGAATGGCAGAATAAAATAATTAATTAGATTGATAATGGGATTTCATTCAAGATAAAGCAGAGGGAAGTAACTAAAAATACCAAAAGAATTGAATGTTAAGGGATCACAAATTTGGATACCAAATCAAAATGAAACAGGACCATACTGTTTCCCCCACATGAAAAATAGGGATAACATATACAGAAAACCACCCAGCAATCAATTCCCTAGCTAAGCCAATGGAATGAACCCCAAATTCCATTACTAGAGACGGAGAAAAAAAATAAAGAAACCCACAGCTCTACAATAAGACCATCCATGCACACCTTCCACAAATAAGCATTTACATGATAGGAGCTTCTAAATAACTCAAGTGATATGTTGGATCCCCTAATATTATTAAGTAGTATCCTGCAGAAAATGGGGCACCAAACAACCTACTCTCCCTTCACACCAGATAATTATGATGGAGAAGCCAAATGGTCAAATATGGGATCCAGATTCAGAGTGCAGGAGCACAGCACCCCATTCCTCAAGAAGCTGTGTTGTCTTCATCCTTACAGAACTCCGACCAACCTGAGCTTGTATTGGGTGGGGCCTGTGAAAGATGTGAACAGGGAGTTCTCTACCCCTCTAATATTCCTTCAAGGTTTGTTGGTCTTTTCGGTCCCTCAAAAACCATTGCTAATACTGAAATGTGTGTGTCCTCCCCTTTGTGTGCAGATCAAACCATGACTCAGAAGCCAGTGAATGATGAAAATCAATTTGCCACAAAGCAAGGAGGTGCTGAAGAAGCTAAGAGAACAAGGGAGGTAGGGGTTAGAGAAAAATTGTTGGGGTGCATGTGGTGGCAGAAAATATTTATGCCACAAAACCTGGAGGAGTGTTGGTTTCATAGGAAGTGGGGATGAGAGGGGGGAAAGAGAACTTGACATTAATGAACCCAAAATAAAAAGAGAAGGGGGAGGGTTAAGACAGCAAGAGAGCAAGAGTTATTGCTCTAGTCTGGAAGATAGAAGAAAGGGAGTTAGAAAGAGATCTAACAAATTAAAGGAGTCGCCTAAGAGAAGAAAGAAGAGAGCTACATTAGAGAAGCCCTTAGACGTGAAGGTACACAAGGAAGGAAAAAGATAAGGAAAGGAAGAAGAGTGAAATGGAAAGGTTCGTTAGTGAGTTAGAACAGGGAAAGGAAGAGAGCAAAAGGAAGAGTAGAAGAGGGGAAGGCTGTTAGCTCTTTTTGCTCAAAAGTGTGGGTACTTCTTTGGTACAAGTATGAAGATAATAAGCTAGAATGTGAAGGGTCTAGGGAGCGCAATAAAGAGACGGCTTATTAGAGAAGCCCTCAGAAAGGAGAGACAGGATATGGTAATGTTACATGAAACAAAACTTCAAGAAATAGATAGGAGATGGATTAGGATCATCTGGGGAGCTAGAGGTTTAAGCTGGGCTTTTGCAATTTGCACCTTCCTGGGGAGCTTCTGGAGCTATGCTCACCATGTGGAGGAATGAAGAGTTGAAAGGTCTGGAAGAGCTAATAGGACAGTTTTCAGTCTCAATCAAATTTAGAAGGATAACCGATGGCAAGGATTGGGCATTGAAAAATGTTTACGGTCCGAACTCCTATAAGGAAGGGGCCCATTTTTGGGAGGAGTGAGTGCAATTAGAGGGTTCTAGGAGGGAGCTTAGTGTCTAGGTGGTGATTTCAACATAATCCAATTTACATCAGAGACAAACAATCCAAGCCAAAGAATCACAACAAGTATGAGGAAGTTTAATGAGTTTGTAGAATTATTTGAACTGAAAGAGATACCACTGCTACAAGCTGACTATACTTGGTCGAACTTTCAAGATTCGCCGATTTGCTCTAAACTAGACAGATTCCTTTTTTCAATGGATTGGGAAGCTTTGTGGGAAATTTTAACTTCACGAGCTTTAGTGAGAGTGACTTCTGACCACTGCCCTATATGCCTAGCGCAAGAAAATTTGATAGGGGGACCTTCACCGCATAGCTTTCAAGGCGCCAAGGTGAGGCTAGGTGACTGGGGGGCACCTTGTCACCTAGGCGTCACCTAGGCGATGGATTTTTTATGTTAAAAACATAGATCTTAGGGTAGTTCCCTAGGTACCATAACCATATTTCTTTCATAATTATTCATGATTTTCATAAGAAAAGTATAAATTTCATATTAAAGTATAGAAAATCAACATATTCATGAGAAGAAAAGGAAGAAGGAAAATAAAATTCAAAAGATATAAGGGCTGAACCCTTATTTTTGTTATAGGAAAAGAAAAAAATAAAAAGTATTGGTAGTAGTAGTAGTAGTAGTAGTAGTAGTAGAAGAAGAAGAAGAAGAAGAAGAAGAAGATATGGAAGAGGAAAATGTGCAGATTAGATAAAATTTTAAGTTCTTCCTTACTTATTGGTTCAGGTATTTAAGTCTTTGAGGGTTCAATATAGCATTTAGCAATGTTTGTGTTGATTAAACCCTAATAAATAAGAAAATAATAAAAAGAAATTAGTATATAAACACACAAAATGATTATTTTAGTTTAATAATGTCTATTTTATAATTATAATCTCAAAAAAGAATGAATAAAAAAGTATTTCATAGTAGGAAGTAGAAAACTGCTAAGCGGTTAGGCGAGGCAAGCCTAGCCTCAAAGGGCGCCTTGTCGCCTAGACATCGCCTTGGCAACTATGTTACACCGTTTAGGTTTGAGAACATGTGGCTGGAAGATAATACATTTGCAGAAAAGGTCAAGTGCTAGTGGTAGGAGGTAGGGAGCAGAGGCTTGAAGAGCTAAAAGAGAAAATAAAGGCATGGAACAAGGGCACTTATGGTAAAGTGGAGGAGATCAAAGAAAGAGTTGTTTCAAGGATTGAGGAGCTAGATAAGAAAGAAGCCCTTGCAACTATGACAGCGAGGAAAGAGAAGAAAGGTGGAAATTGAAGTGTGAGTTAGAAGAGGTCCTTAGGAAGGAAGAGATTTCTCGGAGGCAAAACTCTAGATGTAAGTAGTTGTTGGAGGAGGAAGGGAATACAAATTGTTTTCTCTTTAGCCAACGGGAGAAGAAGGAAAAATCAAATTGTTAGGCTAGAAGTGGAAGGATATGAGATAACCAGGGAGGAGGAGACTATCAAGGTCTTTGTGGATCATTTTAAAAGTATCTTCTACAGTCAAGGGGTTAGAAGTCAATTTCCCCAAGATGTTCAATGGACTAGAGTGCCTAAAGCTATGGTTGCAGCCTTAGACGTGGAGTTTTCTTTAGAAGAAATAAGAGAGGCGGTTTTCTCGATGGAAAGGTCTAAAGCCCCTAGACCGGATGGTTTCTCTTTGGCTTTTTATCAGGAGTGTTGCAGCCTTATCAAAAGAGATTTGATGGAAGTTTTCAATGAGTTTTACACTGAAGGGGAAATTTCTCAAGGTACAAAATCAACTTTCATTGCCCTCATTCCCAAAAGGAAGTTAGCAAAAACTCCAAAGGATTTTAGACCAATAAGCCTAGTGGGGAGCCTCTATAAGATTATAGAAAAGGTTCTAGTGGGGAGACTTAACAAAAGTACTACCCTTGGTCACCTCACATCGACAAGGTGCCATTGATGAAGGGGGACAAATTATCAACCAGGTGTTGGTAGCAAACGAATGTGTATCAGAGAAGAGGAGGAGAGGGAGGGGTGTGGTGTGCAAGTTGAATTTAGAGAAAGGCTTATGACTCCGTGGACTGGTCTTTTCTCCTAGAAATTATGGGGAGAAGTGGGCTAGGAGAGCAGTGGAGAATGTGGATAAAGGGATGCCTTAGTTCAATACAGTACTCGATCATGATTAATGGTGGGGCTAGAGACTACTTTCCCGTGAAAAGAGGATTGAGACAAGGGGATCCCCTCTCCCAAATCTATTCACTTTAATTGCTGATATCCTAAGCAGGATGATCATAGAGGCAAATTAGAGAAATCTTTTAGAGGATGGAGGGGTAGGAAGTCTTGAGGTGGCAGTCACACATTTGCAATTTGCAGTTGACATCATCTTATTTTGTGAGGGAGGTAACTAGGAGAGCATAAGATATTTGTTGAGCTCATCACCTCCTTTGAATCACTCTGCAAATTGAAGGTTAATTGGGGAAAAAGTTGTATAGCAGGGATCAACTTGGAAGATGAAAGTTTGAGAGAACTAGCTGAGATTTTGGGGTGTGGAGTCAAACAATGGCCATTGGAGTACTTAGGGATCAGTTGGGAGGAAATCCTAGATTAGAAGATTTTTGGAAGCCAGTGGTGGAGAGGTTCACAAGGAAGTTGGCAATCTGGAAGAGGAATTATTTGTCCATAGGTGAGAGAATAACACTGATTAGAGCAACTCTAGAAAATCTACCAGTCTATTTCCTTTCAACTTTTAGAATCTCAGTTAAAGTGGTAGGAAAACTAGAAAAATTTATGAGGGATTTTCTCTGGGAACCTGGGGATGAAAAGAGGGATCATCTGGTAAAGTGGGAACAAGTCAGCAAAACAAAGGAAAAGGGAGGCTTAAGACTGGGGAACTTAGTTCACAGGAATACTTCTTTGTTAGGAAAGTGGCTTTGGAGATTCCCATTGGAAAAAGATAAAATGTGGCACAAGGTGAAAGAAAGCATTCACGGGCTGATGAACAATGCCTGGGATGCAAAGATAGCCCTTAGGTGGGGGGGGCGCCTTGTCACATTGTCACCTAGGCAGGCACCTAGGCGTCACCTAGGCGATGGATTTATTATGTAGAAAACATAGATCCTAGGGTAGTTCCCTAGGTACCATAACCATATTTCCTAAGAATTATTCATAATTTTCATAAGTATAGAGTTCATGTTAAAGTATAGAAAATCAACATATTCATGAGAAGAAAAAGAAGAAGGAAAAGAAAATTCAAAAAATATAGGGGCTGAACCCTTATTTTTGTTATAGGAAAAGAAGAAAAGAAAATGTGTTGATTACAAAATGTGTAGTAAATGTGTTGATTAGACAAAATTTTAAATTCTTCCTTACTAGTTCAGGTTTTAAAGTCTTTAGGGGTTCAAATACAACAATTAGCAATGTTTATAGTGATTAAACCCTAACAAATAAGAAAATAATAAAAAGAAATTAGTATATAAACACACAAAATGAATATTTTAGTTTAATAGTGCATATTTTATAATTAAAATGTCAAAAAATAAAGAATAAAAAGTATTTTATAATACATACTACAAAACTGTTTACCGATTAGGTGAGGCGGGCCTCAAAGGGCGCCTTGTTTCCTAGGTGTCGCCTTGACAACTATGATCCTATCTTTCTTAATCTTATTAGACTTAATGTGGGTTGTGGCTCTAGGGTGCTTTTCTGGGAACATCTCTGGCTGGGTGATACTCCTTTTTGCTCCCTATTCACTGACATATATTCAGTCTCTAACTACAAGTTACAACCCGTCTCAAATTTTGTCACCTTTTCTCACTCTAGACAGAGTTGGGATTTCAGTTTCAAAGGGGTTTGAGGGATAATGAATGTGAGTAAATGTTTTAAAAAACCTATTATCTAAAATAAAAAAACATAAACATAACATGTAAAGCGTATTCAAATGAAAATCTAAAAATAAAAGCAAAGATATAAAGCATTTTCAAGCATGTAAAACCCACAATCTCTTTTCCTCCTTAATTGCAATGCTTCAAGTAGCTAATGTGATGTAAAACATATTGCATTCTTGATTCTATGAGTCACTACCACGCCCCTCGAGGCAAGCCCGAATAAGTCTATGTCAGGTCTGAAATTCTTATTTCTCACATAAAAAATAATAATTTTATAGCTTTCATTGCCTTTTAAGAAGAGATAATTTATTGCAATGAATCAATGAACAACATTAGCAAAATAGGGGTTTCTCGGAGCCAAACCGTTAGAACCAAAAAAATGCAAAAAGCGCAAAATTTTAAAAAGGTGCACGCCTGGGCTGAGGTGCAAGGTGCATCAGGCACATGCCTAGGTGCACCAAGCATGTGCCTTTTGAAAGGGATGTGCCTAGGACCTGGGCGAGGCGCATACCCCAAAATGCACCTCACCTGTGCGCCTAGGTGCGCCTTTTAAATCACTGCTTAAGTCAGTTACCTTCAATCCACTTTGAAGGAAACTAGAGTATGGTCTGCTTCTTCTGATGGAACCTTTACCTGTGCTTCTTTCTTCAATACCCTTGTACAAGCCCCTGCTGATGGGGTGAGAATTTTCGGTGAAAGAGATTTGGAGCAAGACAATTCCACCAAAAACTCAATGCTGGGAGATTTTTCTCGGGAAGATAAATAATTGCGACATGCTTCAAAAAAGGAGGCTAAATAAATGCCTCCCCACATATTTGCATCCTTTGCTCTGCTGGTGGTTAATCCCTACCCCATTTATTGATCCATTGCCCCTTTGTCCTTTTTATTTGGGAATCTCTATGCTCTCTTTGGTTGCAGGTGGAGTGCTCCCCTAGACGTAGTAAGCCTCTTTGATGAAAACTTTCTAAGGCAGCCAACAAAAAAAGGAAGGGTTGTATGGAAATCGGCAAGGGCAGCGGTGGTGTGGACAATATGGTAGGAAAGGAATGCAAGAATCTTCAATGAGAAGCATAGACCAAAAGAGGCTATTGTGGAGGCCATAAAGATAAAAGTTGCTCATTGGGTAAAATCACTCCAGCTCTTTCAAAATATCTCAATGACTGATATTGTAAGAGCCTGGAATGAAGTAGCACACACTGCTGAGAAGGGAAGAAAAGTGATGAAATGGAAGCCCCCAGGCCCCAACAAGTTGAAGCTGAACTTTGACGGGAGCTCTACAGGAAACCCGGGTATGGCAGGCATTGGTCGTGTGATCAGAGATTCCTCAAGCAAAGTATTGGCTTTCTACTCAGGACCTTTAGGGGAAGGAGACCCCTTAAAAGCTGAACTGTTAGCCCTGCTGCAAGGACTAAAGATTGCCAAGCAAGTTTATCATAATAACTTGGAGATAGAAGGGGACTCAAAAACAGTGATATCTTGGACCAATTCAAGCAGTAATGTCCCTTGGAACTACAGACATCCATTAAGGGAGATGGTAAGCATAGCAAGGGAACTTAATGCCTCATTCACATGGGTCAGGAGCACTGAAAATGGAATGGCTTACTCTCTAGCTAAACAGGGAGTTCAAAGGCAACAGCTTTTTTGGGCTTTAATGTAACATTTTCTGTTAAATTGTCTGCACTCTTTCTGATGGAACTCTATTGTAACTCTATTTTAATCATTTTAATTGAATAAAATTCTCTGAGTTGAAGTATGATAGTGGTATTTTTACAATTTCTGTTCTTTGGCATAATTTTCCTTCTGTAGATCTTTCATTTAATTATAAAAAAGTTTTCTATTTTTCGTAACTTTAGGACTGGATTTTCATAGTTACATACAAACATACCGGAAAGAAGCCCTTGTGATTTGTTAAAGACAAGTGAAACAAAAGAACCATTTTATGTCCCATCTATAATGAAAAAACAGAGCCTAATCAAATATTTCTCCAATTTAGCATTCTGTTATTAGGAATCTAATGCATTTTTAAGTTACTGGTGAAATGTCAAATAAGCTATCCCTCCTTTTTTTCCTGATTCGTAAATTGGTGTCCCTCCTTGGTACTGAACTATTATGAAAATCATTGGTAACCAAAATAGGCTAAGAATAAATGGTGCAACCTCACCCCTTTGCTTGAACCAGATCACCAATAAAGGAAGAACAGATAAGTCCAGCATTACCAAATCCCTATCACCCTAGAGCAAAATCAGTTCACAATTCCATAAAGTCTTAACACCAACAAATGCAAGATTTAAACACAGAACTCTCAAGAAATATAGAGATGTAGATACTAAGATGCCAAAATGACACTCTCTTCTGGAAAAAAACCACAGTGGACATTCTAAAAATTACACCTTTGCAAAATCTTAAATGGTAGTCGAACGAGAACACCATCATTAGCAAATTTTGAACCATCATACCTGGGCTTCAAATGTAAAACTTTGCATATTAAAATCATTGTTGGTATCTGCTGCAGCAGTAGCTAAGGTATCAGATGATCCATGCAAATTTCTCTGACTCTTTGTATCACTATTAGAAGTGAAACTTTCTAACAATAAAATGTTGACACCATCTTCTACTGAGACTGAATAGCTACTATCATTGCTCAAGTATGTACGCTTCCTCAAAAGGTCACCATTCTAACAAACAAAAAAAGAAAACATAGCATGTTAAATAGATAAAAAGTACATCATGGATGAAGAAATGACTTAACTCTGGAATATTATGTGAATATGTCTAAAACAATAATAGCATATAAGATGACTGTTAGTGTCGACTGTATAGGGGTAGTTTTGTCAATTTGTTTAGGTTTGGTGTGAGATGTCATGTTTAAGTGTTGTGTCCCATACTTAAGTAAGGGCACAACGTACCTTTTGTTATTCATTAGAAAAAGTATAAATACAATCTGGCCAACTAGGGAGAATAGAATTCTCTCTCTAGTTCGAACCAGGTTTTCCTTGTCTTCTCTTCTCTTCTTCTTCTCTCTCTATCCTTTTTAGCTTTCTGCTACTGTTATTTCTTACTGAATTCAAGTGCAGGTCTGAACTTTATCATGGTATCAGTGCAACTGTGACAAATACAGATCTAGGGTTTTCCAGATTTTTGCATCATCAGTTGGAAATATGGAAAAGGGCTGAAAAGGAGAGGTCGCCTTTCCCTTTGGAGGTTTTCATGCCTCCAGTTGGTGGTTTAGTGGGTGTTTGTGGTGGTTTGTAGGGAACCCTCTTAATCAATGGTACGAAGAGGGCTGTTTTGGGTGGTGCAGTGGGGAGTCGAGTGCAGGTTGTTTTTTTGTTGATCGAATAGGTGGATTGTATGGGTGTTTCAGTGTGAATTGAGTGGTTGGTGAGTGTCTATACTGAGGTAGGTTTGTGGGGTGGATTCAGGTAGGTTTGTAATGCTGAGAACGAAGAGTGTCAACAACTGTTGTTGCTGAAAACCATGACTGTAGGTGCTTCCACTAGTGTGTAGTGTGGTGAGAAGTGGCTGTAGGTGAGAAGTGAATTAAAAGTGTGATATACAGGTGAAAAAAAAGGGAGGAAGAAAAAAAATCAGATATGGGAGATAGTATTGAACACAAATTTAGTGTCAGGGTTCCCACTGATTACCAGAATGTTCAGATGATTCTCAGGACTATAGTGATTGGGAACAAGAAGATGCACTGATTATGACCTGGTTGTGGAATAGTATGGAACCCAAGATCAGTGAGAATTTTATGTTCTTAGATACAGCCAAGGAGATTTGGGACCATGCCAAGAAGCTGTACTCAAGACAAGACAACAGTACTAGAGTGTACCAGCTTTATCAGGAGTACTTTAATCTGCAACAAGGTAGTCAAAGTCCTGAGGAATACTATGCTAGCATGAAGAAACTTCGTAATGAGTTGAATGTGAACCATCCCCTCACTTCTGATGTTAAGATTCAACAACAGCAGAGAGAACAACTAAATGTAACCAGATCTTTTGTAGGGCTGAAACCTAAGTAAGAACCAATGAGACCCTCTCTCTTGTTCTTAAAATTGGACCAGTTCGTGTTATGATATCTCTAACTACTATGTATGAATGGCCTCTATTTCAGCTTGACATCAAGCATGCCTTTTTACATGGTGATCTCCTTGAGGTCTATATGGAACAACCACCGGGGTTTGTTCCTCAAGGAGAGGATGGTAAGGTGTGCAAACTAAAGAAGGCCATTTATGGACTTAAATAGTCTCTCATGCATGGTTTGGTAGTTTCAGTGAAGTGATAAAGAAGCTTGGCATGAAACAGTGTCAGGTTGATCACTCAGTATTCAGCTATGATTCGAATGTTGGGAAGATTTTATTGGTGGTATATGTAAATGATATTGCCATTACTGGCTGTGAAAGATTGCAGATTGATAAGCTGAAGTGCTTTCTATAGGAACACTTCCAAACAAAGGACCTTGGTAAGTTAAAATATTTCTTGGGGATAAAAGTAGCAATGTCTAAGCACGGTAGTAATTTGTGTTAGAGGAAATATGTTCTTGATTTGTTGTAGGAAACAGGATTGCTAGGTGATAAACTGGCTGAAACACCTATGGAACCAAATACCAAGTTGAGTAGTGATGTGGGTGAGGAGTTTGAAGATCCTGGAAGGTACAAGCGGTTGGTAGGCAAACTAAACTACCTAACCATTACTCGGCCAGATATTTCATATGCAGTTAGTGTGGTGAGTCAGTTAATGCAAAATCCTCGGGTTCCACATTGGGGTGCAGCTCTAAGGATTGTAAGGTATTTGAAGGGTTCCTGGTCATGGCTTGTTATACAAAAGTGGAGGAAATCTTGAAATAGAATGATACACCGATGCTGATTGGGATGGTTTTGTATCTGATAGAAGGTCCACTACAGGTTAGTGTACCTTTCCTGGGGCTAATTTGATGACATGAAAAACTAATAAACAGACAATGGTGGCAAGAAGTAATGCAAAAGCTGAATACATGGCACAAACAACTTGTGAGCTAGTGTGGTTGAGAAATCCTCTATAGGAGATGGGGTACTCAATTGACACTCGCATGAAGCTTAAATGTGACAACCAAGCTGCAGTCCACACCTCTTCAAATCCAGTTTTTCATGAGAGAACAAAACATAGAGAAGTTGGTTGTCACTTTGCGAGGGAGAAAGTGCTTAGTGGAGTGATAGCCACTGCATGTGTTAACACAGGAAATCAATGGGCAGACTTGTACACCAAAGGGTTGAGTCGGGTAAGAGTGGCCTACATATGTAACAATCCAGGACTATATGATATATACTCACCAGCTTGAGGGGGAATGTTAGTGTCGACTGTATAGGGGTAATTTTGTCAATTTGTTTATGTTTGTGTGAGGTGTCATGTTTAATTTAAGTGATGTGTCCCATACTTAAGCAGGGGCACAACAGACCTTTTGTTATTCATTAGAAAAGTATAACTACAATCTGGCCAACTAAGGAGAATAGAATTCTCTCTCTAATTCGAACCAATTTTTTCATCTTCTTCTCTCTCTATCCTTTTTAGCGTTTTGCTACTGTTATTTCTTATTGAATTCTAGTGCAGGTCTGAACTTTATCAATGACCAAATCCATGTAACAAGCAAATTCAATTTTCTCAAATCTAGTCGGGGATGATGCAGACTGACTAGTAACAAATGAACTATGGGATAAGGATTTAATGATGATTCTAGCAATAAACATATGAATTGATCAGAGTAATAATGGTTCCAGGCTAAAACTCTAATAATTATAAGTTTTCTGAAGGATTCTGTGAATTAAAATCCAAAATGTAAGTATAGGGATGCAATTTTTTGAATGAAATTTTATGGCCATATTTGAAATTTCTACAAAAGGATTAAAATTCCCTTTGTGGGAGAAACGACCAAAATTCAAGAAATTAGGGTTTTAGATGGAATTTTGGAATGAAATTTGATAAGATGATAAGTAATGATTATCTATGAAGATGACTAAATGTGAGAGTAATCAGAGATGGTCAAAAACCAAAGGAAGATACATGAAACAAGAAATTTTAATTTTTTAAAACAAACATAAGGAAAATGTATCAAGATCAAGTCAAGTCATTTAGCATTGTTTTATGAACATCTTTGATGGGCACAGAAGATAGTATGGGGCATGAGAATAACTCACCACTCTTATCATAAGCTCTAATAACTCAAATAAACTCAATTCACTTATTCATCATGTTTTTGGGATGAACCAAACTCATTTAATTTTATTTAAATGGGTCATTAAGAGGTTAGCAGGTTAGATAGTTTGGGTTGAAGCTCCACCAAAAGCCAACCTGCCCAATTTCCACCCCTAAGCCTTGAACAACTAAATGGGGTTACACGATCCTCTTTAGCCACTCCACTCTGCTCAATGTTGGTGTTAGTGGAAATATCAGCAATCCAAATAATATGCAAAAATATAGAATGCTATTTATGTAATGACAAAAGATGCATAGATAGACCCTTATAAATTATTATCTTGTTCTGAAAAGGAAGTGATTGTTGGACATGACGGGGTGGCTGGAGATGGCGGGAATGTTTTCAAGAACCAAGATGTTTATCTGAGGGGATGGTGATTTCCGATAGGGGTCAAAAGCCGGAGGGGAGTCTGGAAGAAGACGTGAAAACATTTAATACAGCTAGGAGATTCAAAACTCAAAATAATAGAAAAAAAAATCAGCAGGAAGTTCCAGTTTCAAAAGTCCTTGCACGGTTAAAAGGAGGTTTACATAGCATTGGGCTTAATAAGCTCGTCAAAAAACACAAACGATCAAAGAGAAGGTGACTAGAAGATTGTTCTCAAAAAGCTGATAAAAAGAGTTTTTGAGTGGGAGTCCTGGTGGGATTCGGTGGTAGGTGTGGGTTTCTGGCGGGTGATGATATTGGTTTGTAGGGTCTGGGATTTTGCCTTAGTGTTGCAGTTTGGCTTTTCTTGTTTTTTGCTGGTTTGCAAGGATTTAATAAAATTTGTTCTATTTTATCTTCAGAAAAGAAATAATCAAAACTACATGATACAGAGAGTTTAACCAAATTTTAAAATCATAATAGATCAACTAAATAATTTATTATACAATAAAAGCCAAGATTCAATAACATCATGTTTAAAAAGAATTTGTAGTTGGCTCAAAGTGATAATCATGTCCATGAGGTCGCCAATAACATTGCTACTCCACATACTAAAACATTGTCACCAACTTATGTGATGATACTATCTTTTGTACTCCACATAGCACCCATAGATTTTATTGGGGAATACGTTCATTCCAACAATATTTCGTGTAGGTACCAATGGAAATTGAAATATGTACTGGAAATATTAGAAATTTTGTGAACATCAAATATTACATGTATATATATAGATATACCATTAAATTATGTATGTATGTATATTTGTTTTCAACTATTACATGGATTACATTTCTAACAATTATTCCTAAAATGCACATCTGCATGAGTTCATTCTAATTAAATTAAATGCTTACCAGGACTGATTTTTTTACAAGCATTTATCAATGTTAATTTATCCAAGGTGAGACTTCAGATAGACATAAACCCAAGGATCCACCTTCACAAATAGGTGCATATTTTATTTCAATATATCTTAAAGATTCTTTTCATAGAAAAAGTATATATTGCATTTGTCATCCTCTCATTTGTCCATTTTCTCCAGTGGAAATCATGCACACCATATAAAAGTGAGAAAGCTGGGAATACATATAATGTCAATAAAGAATCATAAATCATTATAATAATACTACAGAAATTACTACAGACTTTTTGTATCTCCTCTTGAATAGTGATGAAGATACCTGAACAATATCATGCCACTGGCAGTTCAGGAGCTAAACCTATTTTCCAACTTAATATATCAACTGGATAACCTACATTGTCCTCGACATATATGTGTAGGAAAAGAGACCATTTTTTCTAATTGTATGGCATAATACAAATGCTATTATGCCATCGTCCAAACACCCTTTATCATGCCCAATAGATCTTGACACCAGGAAAAGAGTAGGCAATTAAAGATGAACTTGGTAGTATGCAAAGGGATATATAAATCAAAAGGGAGCATACATACCTCAATTTTTACATTCATGAAACGCAACTTTTTGCCATGTCCAATAACAATGATAGGATGTAATCTTGAAGATGATATTTCTTTCAGATCAATTTCTTCACTCAAACAGATTGTCCCTCCACAACCATCATATATGTATTCATCAACCCCTACAGCATCAGCTATTAACTGCTTACATGGAGATAGATGGACCACATCATCTTTCTGCTTGTAAAGAGGTGATGAGAGTATGATGCTGTTATTTCTAGTTAATGGATCATTGTTGGGATCCAAAGTTTCCTCCCTACCAGTTATTGCTCCCAAAGATGGCACAAAAAATTCAACCACTGCGAGAAGAAAATCTAAAATAACAAGTACACGAAGCTGCTGGATGCGAACAACAAGTGAGCAAGAAGATGAGCGTAGTCTGTAGTCCATCAATAGCATAGTTGAAATAGGAACATCCATATCATGGGAAGCTTCAGGGTCCATCCTCACATTTTCACTTTTGTTCAAAGAAACAGGAACATTTCCAGCAGAACTTTGTCTGAGTACATCTGAGGAGGATCCCAGCATCAGGCGCATTTCAGACTTCGTATCAGGGCGAATGTCCAGAATAGAGAATAAAGGGATAGTTATATAAATATCTGTTTCAGACAGTGAAGTCGTCCGATAAGATACCCAAAGCCCTTCCAGCTGCAGAAGTATAAGAAATACATCAGAAATATAGGAATTCACATCAGAGAAAGGATGGAACTTTTGAAGAATAAGTTTGAAATACAATGAAAGGTATAAGAACCAATGGTGCTTTTTCCAAAGCAAGAGTATATAAAGAGGGGGATGCAGAAGAAAAGGAGGTAATGATGGATGAAGGGCACCACATTGCTAAACCCTTCCTATAGAACAGGTGGTATACTGTAAAGTGCAAGCAAAAAGCCATTACACCTGCTCTTTAGCAACAGTTATTAGGCATTTACCAATGAGAATCAAGAAGATGGAGGAAAAGAATATGAGAGGACTAATTGCGGGTAATGCTAACAGGAAACCTTTTTGTTACTTTCCAGTTTCTAATACCCATAGGAGGAGTAAGAGGAAGCTTGAGAAAGCTATTTCAAAATCTATATATTGTAGGGGAAAACAGAGTAGGGGGTGAAAGGTGTTTGATCGGTGCTTTGTTCTTTCAGTGTAGTAGATGGCACATAGGTGGCTCTAGCTTGCATACTTATTGTACGCATCCCCTTTTTCCTAATAAATTTCATAATTAAAATAAAACAACATGTATCAGGGGACTGATACAAAAATGACAATTCAATGATGCAGAAAAAAACAGAAGTACTTACAGCAACACGAGCTAGAGGTGACTCTTCATCAATGCCATTGCACAAGTCCAGTAAGGCATAGTTGACTTCAACCGCCATTATAGTAACAGTACGTGACAGTAAGTTCTGGCTATTTATATTCACCTTGTCAGTCAACATGCGAATTGTATCTGTTGTATCTGACATTTTGCGAAAGCTAGGTGGTAGTCTTGGCTCTTCAGACATATTCATGATTGCACAATCAAGAATAACATGATACTCCTTATTAGACATCAATAGATGTAATAAACCAACCTGTTAAATGATTGATCAAAAAGAATCATTCCAAGAACTTGAGCCCACTGAAAAAATAAATAAATAAATAAACTAACAGCAAATACTATAAGAAATGCCATATGGAAATATTGCAAAAAATATAGATACGGTCAAAACATTGTGAAATATGAAAAAAATATAAAATCCTATTTTATGCAATGATAAAAGATGCATAGATAGACCATTCTAAATTATCTTGTTTCAAATCATCAAAACTACATGGAGTGAGTTCAAGAAAAATTTAAACTCATAGACAGTACAAAAGATTAAAATAGATCAACCAATTAATTAATTATACAACAAAAACTAAGCTTTACCTTCACGTTTGAAAAAGAAATTTGATCTGGCTAAAATCATAATTATGTCTGTAGAGTTGGGCCGATTTCTTCTTATTGAGCCCAGTTATTTATCTTTTAATTTTAAGTTGTTAAGATAGGAAGTCATTGGGCTTTAGGCCCATTAGTTAATGTTTTTAAGTTGCGACTGTTCAGCACAGTTAAATATAAGGGAAATGGAAGTATAGAAAGGTATAAGGCCAGACTGGTTGCAAAAGGGTACACACAAACTGTTGAGACACAAATAAAGGGAATATAAGTGTACAACAAAAGGCCACGTCAGCCTTTAAAGAATAAAACTAACAGCTAACCACTAGAACAAACTAAATAACAAACTAGACAAGTGGACTGGACAAGTGGAGAGGCTGGTATAACAGAATTGTAACAGCAGTGTTATAACAGAATCGATTATTGAATTGGGAATACAACCTCTCTCTCTCTCTCTCTCTCATTCTGGAGGCAGGCTCCCTCGAAAGAGTCCCTGAGTTAGGCAGTTCCTAACACAAACCTATGGCATTGATTACTTAGAGACCTTTGCACCAGTTGCAAAGATGACTTCTGTTCGGATACTTCTCTCTCTTGCTGCCACACTCATGGCCCCTATTTCAACTTGATGTGAAAAATGCTTTCCTAAATGGAGATTTGCAAGAAGTGTATATGGATCTCCCTGTTGGTTTCCACAGTGATGTTGAAAAAGGGAAGGTATGTAGACTTAAGAAGACACTTTATCAATCTCCCAGAACAAGGTTTGACAGGTTCAATAAGGCATTGATTGCTTTTGGCTACACACAAACTTAATCAGATCATACATTTTTTGTGAAGCGGAGAGGATCCTTGGTGTTAGTGCTAATTGTTTATGTGGATGATATTGTTGTCACAGGAAATGACCTAAGTGAAATTGACAAAACATGGAATCTTAGGTGAGATTGACCTATGTGGATGATATTGTTGTGGGGAGCTTAGGTACCTCTTGGGCATTTAAGTTGCAAGATCAAAACATGGAATCTTTATTTCTCATAGGAAGTATGCTCTGGATCTTCTACAAAAAACAGGAAAGCTTGGAACAAAGGCTGCCAGTACTCCTATTGATCATGTTTCTACGGTAGCTACAGTAGTCCAAACAAGTAAGGAGAAGAAGAAAGAAAAGGAGAAGAAGAAGAAGATGAAAGAACTGTTGAACCTGATAGCTAAACCCTATCAGTCGACCTCTTAATAGTGATTAGGCTTCTAATTAAATGTACAAGGACTAAACTGCCCCTACTTAAGTATGGGACAGAGAACCTCTAATAAGACTACCACATAAGCTCATAACTTAACCAAGGTRAGTTGACTAATCTACCCTTATTCGGCTAATTCTAACAGACACAAACTTGTGGGGCGTTTGCTATATTTGTGTATGACAAGACCAGATATTTCCTATGCAATGAGTGTGGTGAGTCAATACATGCATGCCCCGCGCGTCCAGCATTAGGAGGTTGTTGACAGAATTCTTGTTTATCTGAAGGGACACCCAGGCAGAAGCATACTATTTGCTGACCATGGACAGTTGAAGCTAGAGGCTTATACAGATGCTGATTGGGCAGGATGCCTTGATGACAAGAGATCTACTTCAAGAGTCTGCACCCTTGTTGGGGGTAATCTTGTCTCATGGAAAAGTAAGAAACAGACAATGGTGGCAAGATCAAGTGCAGAAGCTGAATACAGGGCCATGGCACATGGAGTTTCAGAACTTCTCTGGATCCGTTCCGTGTTAGCAGAGATTGGTGTATAGGCAGAAGAACCTATGATGTTGTATTGTGATAATCAGGCAGCAATTAACATTGCCCATAACCCAGTTCAGCATGACAGGACAAAGCACATTGAAGTGGATAAACATTTCATAAGAGAAAGGGTGACTTCAGTGGAAGTTTGTCTTCCATACATTGCTTCTGGATTGCAACTAGATGATGTTCTCACAAAAGGTGTTGCAAGAAACAAACTGGAACACGATCTACGCAAGTTGGGAATGTGTAACATCTACTCCCAACTTGAGGGGGAGTGTTGAGTTGGGCTGATTTCTTGTTATTGGGCCCAGTTATTTATCTTTTAGTTTTAAGTTGTTAAGTTAGGAAGTTATTGGGCTGTAGGCCCATCAGTTTATGTTTTTTAAGTTGTGACTGTTTATCTACTTAAGTAGCCGCCCTACTAAGGGCATTCTTGTAATCTCTCATTATTTTAATTCAAGTATACAATACAAAGAGGGGTTGGCGGCAAGAAAAAATTCAATTCTGGGCAGCTTCCCACTCACCTTTTCTTCTCCTCTCTTCTTCTCTACTGCTGAAACTTTTCATTTTCTTCTTCACTTCTTCACAAGGAATTCATCTAAAACTGCTATCAACAATTTCTACTATGTCCATTATGTCATCATAACACTGTCCACATATCAAAAATATTATCACCAACTTGCATATAATACTGTCTTGTACTACACACAGAACCAGTAGCTTTTATTAGGGATTTTGTTGATTTCAGCAATATTTTGCATCGGTACCCATGGAAATGGAAATATGGCATGGAAATATTAGGAAGTTTATGGACATTTTAAAGATACCTGATCATACAAAAACCTTTCAGCATGCTTACTACACCAGTACTAGCATTACATGGTGGGGAAGTAGCTACTTTATAATGCATGAACAATTACACAATATCCATTTTTGGTTTTAGCAATGTATCTTAATGGCATATTGCAATTTTTTTAATCAGCAAAAATTTTATTGAATAAATTAATTATAAGAGAGAGAGCAGAACAACTCGGTGACCAAAAAGTCATCCCTTTCCTCCCCTTGTTTAGCAAGGGAATCAGCTAACCCATTTGCAAACCTTCTAACCCACTCGAGATCAGCATTTAGTTCTAATAGAAAATTGTAATTAATACTGATATAACAAACTTTTATCCTCAGACAATTTCCTTACTTTTATCCTCCGGGAAGAATATAATTTCATTGTAAAAAAATACTTCCTGACAAATTTTGTTTTACCAGAAAAATTCTAGCATTTACAAGGTTATAAAAACCAACCATATACAGAATCTAAAATATGAAATGTTGGTCTGGCTGATATTTTGTTATCCTCTTGTCTGGGTTGGGTATTAAGTCTTTAGTTAATGGGCCTTAGTTACTGGGCCTATTTTTATTTAGTGTCTTATTTGACTGGGTGTCCCATCACTAATCAGGGGCATCCTGGTCCTTTTATGTAACTTTACGTACTGTTATTATATAAGTGAACAATACCGGCTGATGAACAGTGCCCATTCGAACATTTCTTCCTTTCTCCTCTTCTCTTCCTCTTCTTCTTCTCTGCTCACTTGACAGGTTCAGTTCGGCAAACATGATATCAGAGCACTAAAACTCGCCAGGTTACAGCAGCTGCCTCACACCTCTCTCTCTCTCTCTCTCTCTCTATCTATCTATCTTGGTACTGCAAAGAAACCCTAAGTCTGGTAGTAGAACCCAGCAGAACCTATATCTAGGGTTTCCCTTGGTTGTAGGGCCCAAGGGGAGTTAGTCCCAGTAGCTGATGCCCTTAGAGACACACACAGCAAGTTGTAGCCATTCGGCCAAGTGAGATCTGTGTAGAGAGGATTGATCTGAAAGAGAGGATTGATCTCAGCAGTCCTAGAACAGTTCGTGGGTGAGGGTTCAGCCTGCGATAGCAGTGGTTAGCGCGTGGTAGAAGCCACAACAGCAAGNCAGCCAAAGATACGAGGTGTTAATGGAAAGGGAGACAAGGTGGGGAACAAGATAGAGAAGGGAGACCGACCATGAAGAATAAAGGAGGGCATCCGATTAATGAGGAAACACGCARTAAGTACAGCATCACTCCAAAACCGTTTAGGAACACTCATATGATGAAGAATAGACCGAGCTGTTTCAAGGAGATGATGGTTCCCTCTGTTGTTCCTGAATCTTAACATCTGGAGTGAGAGGATGATAGACATTGAGTTCATTTCTGAGGTTCTTCATACTGGTATAGTACTCTCTAGGGTTTTATTTCCTTGTTGCAGACCAAAGTACTCCTGATAGAGTTGATATACCCTTGTAGTATTATCTTGCCCAGAATACTTCTTGGCATGTTCCCATATGTCCTTAGTTGTATCTAAGAACATGAAATTGGCACTTATTTTGGGTTCCATACTGTTCCATAGCCATGTCATGATTTCAGCATCCTCCTGTTCCCAATCACCAACTAAGTGCTGCTGTCAAGAGTTTGATGTTCCAGAACCTACAGCAGTCCCTAAACACAATGATARATACRCRYRCCTTTGTTCTTATCCACACCACTACTGATTTCACAAAAAAAAAAACACAGACTACACCGACATTAATTCAGCACTTACTAACCACATGCAAGCTCTCTTAC